ACCCTCTTTTCAGCAGCTTTTGTGCATTTCTGTGAACGGGGGTGTGCCGGGAAGCGAATCCTTGCTGCTTCTCAGTACCTCGACTTTCGGCCCAGGTAGCCAGGCCTTGGCGACAGTGGGCTTGGTATTTCCTGGGTGACCGAGAAAGGCCCCTGCCAGGTGTGAGCTGACTCGTGAGCGCAATAAAAATGGTCAAATTACATGTCTAATCAAAGCAAATAGTTTTCCAGATGGCTTAGGACCAGTATCTTCAGTGGCAGGATAAAAGCTAGGCTGGCTGTCACTAGTGGACCGCAGGGTACGTTAGCCCTAGGCCTTTGCAGGACTGCAAGTTAAAATTGCTACAAGAAATGTGTAGCACCAGGCTGGCTGATCTACCCGACTCAGATAATATTTAGGTGTTTGAGAAAGCATTTTCGGATCATAAAAACACTTTAGAAGTTACAACAGCGGCCGCCTAAATTCAGACTGGTTTCCTGTTGCTATCAGCCTTGAGTAAGAACTCGGAGAGTTTTATTTCTGCGAGGAGGGGTTCTGCTGACAGGTTCATGTTTGTTGACATTTGGAAGTGGGAGGTGAAACTAGCTTAGCTACAGAAACTGGGTGCTGAGCAAGCCAGGCGGCCTCAGAGATTTGTCACCTTCCTCAGGCCTTCCAGGTAATCTTTAGACTGGTCACAGTGGGGAGTAAAGTAATAGTAATTCCTGGATCAGCCTCCTCTTCCCAGCTCTCAGATGATTCTTCAATCAGTGGAGTGACATATCACTTTACATGCAAGTGGAACAAATGACACATTTTTAAAAACTAGAAAAACCTTCTCAGCACAATAAACAGAGATCACAACCATTCAAAATGACTCTTCTCAGCTGGCAGACGAACAGGCGAAAAATCCAACGTCTCTTTGTAAATGCGAGCAAAGATTGTATTTCAGAAAGGAGAGAAGCATCCTGTGGCAGTCACTGAGTGACTTACTACAGATGGCATGATTAAATTTTCATTATTCAATGTCATAAAGTCTGCCGGGGAATGCAAAACTTAAGAATCAGTAGAAAAAGTAGTAGTAGTAATGTCATATGGAAGGGAATAAGCCTGCCGTTCATCTCCACCTAAATGAAAGTATACCATTCACAAAAAGGGGGAGAAGAGTGTTATTTTCTTCACTTCAGAAACCCAACACACTGATAGAAAGCTGCCTTTACCATTGCAGGTAGCTAAAAGACCATACTTATCAAAAGGTTTTCTCTTGATGCTTTCTTTTAATTAAAGGCAAGAACTGTTGCTGCTTCTCACATAAAGCCTGTAGTAGCTGAGTGGTGGTGGTACAACCATCGCCAGTCCGGTTTAGCATCATTATAAGGTATTGAGAGCGAAGGGATTTCATTTACTGGCAACCTCTCCACTTTTTTGCTTTGCCCTGATGTGTGTTAGCTAAGAGAAACGTTAATGCTTAAAGGACTTCTCTGTAATTTTCTTTTGTAATTTATTTAATAATTATGTCAAAACTTAAGTATATGCAAAATTTTCTTCTTCTTAGACTATGCTAATACTTTAGAATTTTAAAATACTTTTAGATACAGATGCAAATCCCATTTCTTTTACATTATCCAATTGCAGTTTCTAGTAATGATAAGATGGCAGAATACTCTCTGTCCTACACACTATGCAAAAGTAGTTTCATGTAGTTGTAAATTCTTTAAGATTTTAATCTTCAGCTGCAGAATATGGACATACCCATCTTGTGGGACCATTTTTATGAAGCCTGGCTTAGCAATACAAAACAAACTCTCTTGGCAAACAAGGAAATGTGATTGCACAGCCCGAAAATCAAATGATGACTTACTGTAATGTGTTTGTTGTACAGTATGACACAGGACAACTGGGAGTAGGTATTCATTCTCAGTTCCTTACTTGTAAAGGGCAGTAGTATCTCCCAGTGTTAGTATCAGCATTGTCAGCGGCAAATTAAGATACGCTGTCAAATTTCATACCGTTTTTAATACTTTTGATATTTTAAATATTCCTTCCTAAACAGTATTAGGTGAATTATCCAAGGCTGCTTATTGTTAGTTGTGCAGTGAAGTACTTTTGACAGAACATTATTTCCAGAGCTTAGGTATGAACAGACACAGAGGCACATCCTTTTCTACCAAGTCTCCAAGTGTTATTTTCAGTTGGAAAAATAGTGAGTGTATTACTGATGGTGCCACTCAGCAGGATGAATCCTTCATGTGTCATTTTAATTACAGGGGAAACGTGGAAAGCAAAATTATTTGTTGCGTCCAATGCTTTACATGAATCACAATGGACTGAGCTCTTTCTGCATCTGCTGTTTCATATTTTAACATGTCATTGCAGTAAAACCTTTCTTTCCAAAAAGGCTGTCCTTAAAAGCTATTCCAGCCTCGGTTCTGTGATCCATGCTATTTCCGTACTGCAGTCTACCATGAGAAACTGTGAAACATCTGCCTAGACTACCGTAAGCCCTGTTGCGGCATTGCTGCCTGTCCCCTGCTTCCCCATGCAAAATAACGACTCCCTTTGTTCTTGGAAATGCAATACCTCTTCTTCCTTTAAAAAACCCGTCTAGGCTGATGGCAATGATGTCATTCCCACAGGTTATCACGGTAGTGATGCTGATAAGGCTTGGCTGGCAGAGAGTGTGAAGTTTCAGTCTTAGCTCAGGGTCACCTGGCTCTGCAGCTGTGTTGCAGGGATAGCCAGGGGGACTGTCCCTTGCAGGCTGTGGTCTTCCTCCAGCTAGGGGTTGTTGAGGTTAGATGAAAATTTCCGAGAGTTGTAATGAGGCCTCCATCTCAAAATTTTATGATTGGTTAAAGAAGATCTGGCTCACACAGTAGTCACTGAATGATTTTAACAAAATGTATTAGTACCCATATGCAGCAAGGGTTTGCTCCCTATATAGATTTTTTCCTTCTCTTTTTTAGTTGTTGTTTCCAAATCTCAGCTACAAATGTAAAAGCAGAAGCCTGGAATAACAGCAGGCTTACTTCAGCAGGCGAAGTCTGAAATCATGGATTTGGCTGTGTGTTTGTGTTTTAGGGATGTGGTCTCTGCACAATACAAAAGAGGTTTCAGGTTAGCTTTCACGATTTCAAGATGAAATTTACATTGAAGGTAATATTTTGTTGTTGCATTCCTTGGTATTGCCCTAATTGCTTGACTGAGCCAATGTAGTGCAAAAAATATAGTTAAAATAAGGCATGCACCTGTGAATTACAGGGGTGGTTAATGACCTGGGGCAGCATTGTGTATGTTATGTGGATTTTGTGAGTTATTTGCATGGTCAGAAATGACAAGTGCTCTGGGAAGATGTGGAAAGGAGTGAGCAGAGCGAGGATGGGGCTCCTTCAGAGCTGTGCCTAGTTCATGAATCACTTGTCCTCCTTTTTCTCCTCCCAGGTGCTGTGCTCTCTTTTGCTTGCCATGACTCCTGCCAAGCATGGTGCCAGATCATCAACGTGTCTGAATCCCATTCTTCTCTCCTTACCTCTATGGACGGGACTCTCAATGAAACGAACTGGAGCATTTCCATGCCTGCTGGAAGCAAATACCGCCTCTACGTTGGCTTGGCTTTGGCGATAGGTTCCAGTATCTTTATTGGTTCTAGTTTCATACTGAAGAAGAAAGGACTTTTGAAACTGGCAGACAAAGGAGTCCCCCGAGCTGGTAAGCGGTGGTGTCTGCCTTGCTCCTGCTGGGGACACAAACACCTCTGTTATAACTCGGCAAAATCAGGGTTTGAGTCACAGATCACACATTTAAAACCGTCATAGTTGAAAACTGTCATACTTTAACAGTGATGAGAAGTCCTTTCTTGGCTAGGGATGGAAATATGGTGTGATTACAGGGACTGAGATTTCAGAATTCTTAGGGCTGTGGTGGCAGCAGTCGGTATTAAATATAGTGAGCTGGTGATATTTCCTCCCTGACAGCAGCTAGATACCAAATAAAGTTCTCCCTTTGTCTTACCCTTCAATGTGCCTTTCTGTCTCTTTTTTCCCATCTTTTTTCCCTCTCGTTTGAGATGGAAAGTCTTAAGACACTAACTAGGTTTAGTTCTTTTTTAAAAAAAGGAAGTGCAATGAGCTGTGGAAAGGATACTTATCACAAAGGTTTCTACAGTTATTTTTAACTATTTTAACTATTCTTTTATCAAAGTCAACAGATGAAGAGCTAGAGCTAGAAAAATGTGGAGAGCTTTTAAAAAACCCATTGGACTAATCTCGTAATTCCCTTTGCATGGATTTAAATATATAGCATTAGAAGTTTTTCTTTTGTTTGTTGTGTTTCTTGCGATATACTCTTCCAGAGAATTTGGTTATTTGGAAAAAAAATGTGTTACTGAATGTTCAATATACTTATGTTTTATGTAAAAAAAAATAAAGCATGCAGTGGCATTTTTCTTCCTAATTTCTCTCAATTTAAAGTATAAGCAGTGTCAAAATGCAGCTGACTGTGTATGAATATATTGGATCTGACCTGGGAAAGCACTTTGAAGCGTTTCTTAAGCTCACCAACAATCTTCTTGGACATTTTACTTTTGCTTGGAACTTTCCCTTTAGTCAAATATCATTTTTCAGAAGTCCAAGTCACAAAGCAGTGGAGTGATTAATAAAAATGTCAGTCAAAATCAAACAAAATATTCTTCATGTTGCATCCAGATAACATGCTCTTTGAGTACTTTATATGACTAGAGGCAAATGTGAAGCTGTAGTTTTGTTTATTATAATAAGGTGATCTCTTTCTTCTAAGATGAGATTATTTTTTCTGCTTCCAGGACAAGGTGGATATTCTTATTTGAAGGAATGGCTTTGGTGGACTGGATTGCTATCAAGTAAGTCGCCTCTTTCCTCTCAACCTGTATGTAAATGCTACATACAGCAGATTGTTTTAAATAGATTTATTCCCTGACTTCTCACTCCCCTCACTTAAAAGAAATGTCTTTGCAATCACCTTTATGACAGAAGCCATTCTGATATCCCATCTCTCAAATATTGTGTTTTGCTCTTTGGAGCTCTATGCAGAATTACAACCTTTTCTTTAATATCCAGTCAAAAGCGATGGGATTGAATCTGTCCAACTTCTAGGAGTACTTAGGGGAAAAGTATTTAACTTTTTTAGCCTTTATTATGTCCAGAGGAGGTTAGATAATATTGAAAGGAAAATTTGCATATATAATATAGAGAAAAGATTTTGGTTTATATTTGCTATCGTAGCTGTCATACAAAATATTTATAATTTTATTCCCCCCCTTCAACCTGATCCAAATGTTCTTTCTTCTGCAGTGGGATTAGGAGAAGCTGCAAACTTTGCTGCCTATGCCTTTGCACCTGCAACCTTAGTTACCCCCTTGGGTGCACTGAGTGTTCTCATAAGGTTAGTACAAACTGGAAGCAAGCTCTGACAAAGGAACCAGTCACTGCGTGAGGAAAAAGCAATGTCTTTGGCTGAAAGTAGAGAACTGTAATAAGAAAACTGAAAAGGAATATATTGACAAAAAATGCTTTTTGTTCCTTGGTGGAAAGATCCCTTGCTTATTTAGAACTGAATTTTTCCGGGTAGAGGGAATGAGAAGTCTTGTTCCAAAGACTAATATATGCTTTCCCAACAGCCTTCCACCTATATTATAAAGTATTTCTTATCAGCGTATACCAGGTATACTGCTGATGCACAGTGGTAGAAGGTTGTAATTCATCTCTTCCTAGAGAACCGAAGCTTTCTTAAAAAGTCTTACCCCGTTCTTCAGTTGTGACAAAACTGTAAAAGAAAATACAGTATTCCCCCATTAAAATGTTTTCAAAAACATTTCTTTTTTTATAGGAGCATAATTTCAAATTAAGGCACACTTAGTAAGCATTTTGGGTTTGTCAGTCTTTTTTAAGTCCTTATAGAAAGAAGACAAAGGAAATTTTAGCTTTTTTAATATCCACAGTTAAAATTTGTCATTCTTTTGAAATATGAATGCCCTTCAAACACTCATTATTTCCTATGTATGAAGAAACAAATAATTTCCAAGTACTTACGCATGTAAATTAATAAGGCTATCACAGAAGCTGAAAAGACGTGGATTATGCTTACAACAAACATTCTGGGGAAAAATTCATTAGCAAAATTGAATTATTGTATTTTAAATGTAAAACTCTTATTTTTAAGACCTGAGTATACTATATGAAACATAGGGTTTAAAACCAACCTGGCCATGGTTTTTTGGGGGTTTTTTTGAAGATGCTTGCAGTAATCTAACTGCTAAAAATGGAACTGTTCTGTCATAGCAAAACCAGTGTAACTCTGTCACCTACAGTTGTGCTGGGATCAGCATGTAGGTAGATGCAGACTAACTGGCTGCCTGGCTGCTGCTACTCAAAACAGCTTGATTTTTAATGTCCTCTCCTTTGATGTGGATAGCAATCTTTCCAATTTTCGTGAAACAGAAACATTGTGAGAACTTCATGTCAGTGAGCTCATTACCCTTGTGCGAAAAAATAGCTGTAATTCGATCAGTGGGTTGAAAAACTATTTGTGAGCCTGTCCACACACTGCTAAGCCTGTGTCTGTGCCTAAGGTTGTGCTCTAGCTGGCTAATCATGTGCCCTGTGAGGTGGCCTCATTTGGGCCATCTTATTATCCTCAGGTTAAATCTTGAACCCCTTGGAGAGCCTGGGGTCAGTCCTCTTCGAAGGGGGAGATGTGCCTTCTCTGTGATTTTGGGAGAGTCCTGGCAAGCCAGGCAGAAACTTTGCCTGGGTGGGAGAGCCCAGGGAGGGATGAGGAGGAACAGTTTCCAAAACTTGTGTGCATTGGTTCTGATGGCAAATGAAGTGCTTTAAACCATTTTTGGAAGAAAATAACAGCTTGTGTGGTCAACCTACGGGTGTGTGAGAGTGCATACCCCTGACCCGGGCAATCAGTAATGAGAGAAGTTCCTTGAGCAATTGGGACCCTTTACAATCTGGAGGGGAGGGATCAGGGTTGCTAACCCCCCTAAAACCTGACCTGACCTTCTTGGTCCTGACCAACCTTCCTGCAAACATCCTTAAAATTTGATTGTTTCAGGCTGGTTTCCCATATATCCAAATTCAAAAGAGGTTTTGAATTACTACCATGTTACACAGAAAGATTTTTAATGTCTCACGTGGCTGGTGGAGCTGAACCTTTTATTTATATTATGCCAAACAGTGCTATATTGTCATCCTATTTCTTAAATGAGAAACTGAATATTCACGGAAAGCTGGGCTGTGTACTGAGCATTTTGGGGTCAACGGTCATGGTTATTCACGCCCCTGAGGAGGAGGAGGTCACCTCACTAGACGAGATGGAAAGAAAGCTGCAAGATCCAGGTCTGTATGCAATTGCAATGAACTTGTGCTACAGTTCATAGAGAAGTGTTCGGGACACTGAATAACTTTCTGCGTGTACTTGGACATAGTCTGAGATTTTCTCTTATGTGTATTACTCTTCCCTTTCCTCTTTCTTACAGCGTTTGTTACCTTTGCTGTTCTCCTAACAGTTGTTGCCCTCATGCTGATTTTTATCGTGGCTCCAAGGAGAGGTCAAACAAATATACTGATCTACATTTTAATTTGCTCGCTCATTGGTGCCTTCTCTGTCTCATCTGTGAAAGGCCTGGGCATTGCCATGAAACAAATGCTGGAGCAGAAGCCAGTTTATCGACACCCATTGGTTTACGTTTTGGTGGGCATCTTAGTGCTCTCAGTCAGCACTCAGATAAACTATCTCAACAAAGCGTTGGATGTATTCAATACATCTCTAGTGACACCTCTTTATTATGTGTGTTTCACCACGACAGTTGTGACATGCTCCATCATCCTGTTCAAGGAGTGGAGTAGCATGGACCTGGGTGATATCATTGGAACCCTGAGTGGATTCTGCAGTATCATCATAGGCATTTTTCTATTGCATGCTTTCAAAAATACTAGTATCACCTGGAGTCAATTGATGTCTACTGTTGCAAAAGAACCATCGTTACCACACTGTGACTACGAAACTTGTCACACTTTACTGGAGAGCATGGAAGACCCAGCTTTGGCATATGAGGAGGACAACATTTTATTCAGTCAATGAAACTCTCAAGCGGTGTTCATCATCGAAGTATCATGAATTGCAGACTCAGCCCATTCTGTGTCTACCAGAATGCTCTTCTTTTCTGCCATCTTCTGGAAAACCGTCTGCAAGGCTGGTTAAGTGTGGGCCACTCCTCTGTGCCAGCTGTTGGTAGTAATGAATGAAAATGTTCAATAATATGACAGACAGAAACCTAATGGTGATTGTATGTCAGGCAATGAACAAGGTTGTTCAAGGTTGTCCTTTTTTTATGCAGCATCTCCTATTGGAGAATTTTAGCAGAAAAGAATGGTCTTTGTAAGCTATGTTTACAAAGTGCAATTTTTCCCATCATGATAAAAGATAATCCTTGCTGAAGTGACAAGCACTCTGCTATTATCTTAGCAATGGCCTTAATATTTCAGGCTTTCTTTATATTTTTATAATTTATTGCCAAGCAAACTTGTAGATCGTCTACCTGAAGGATATTAATTGGAGATATAATATGAAGAAAATATTGTTTAACCCTTTTAGCTTTTAATATAAAAATTTTTGCAAGTTTTTTTCATTTTTGATGACCTACCAATGAATCTCGAATAGAAGTCACCAAAAAATTTATGAAATGTGGTTCTTGGTAACCATTCTCCTTCAAAATCCATTTTTTAACAGCAAAGTCTTAGCTCTTCTACCTTAGGAGTCCTGAATGGATGGCAAATCCCTGGATGTGCAGGTACCTTTTTATTTCAAAACTATGACCAAGTTACATTTTAAGAAAAAGCAAATTCGTTAGAGGCCTGAACACAGTTGCTGTTGGCTTTAAAAAATTACATGAGATAAAAACCCAAGTTGTTCAAAGGCAGAAGAAAACCAGAATGTGCATTTAACAATTTCCACTCTGTTTTATACTACTTCAAGGCTTAAGAAGGGGCCTTACTTATTTCTGTACTTCTTCCTAATACTGCCATCTATTCATCAAAACCCATTTAAGCTTTTCAAATTCTTTTCTCAGTTTCCGGAAAAATATTGGTGTTTCTTAATAGCAAAATAGTCCTGTTATTTTATATTCTGTCATAAAAGCAAAATCCGTTTTCCAATCCGTGTGCTATTTCTAAAAATACTAAGTAAAGGAAGGGCTGTAAACAAGTGGTGAGAAACATGAAAACATCTTTTGGTTTAGTTTGGCCTTTTCATCTTTTCTAAAAATGAGTATTCACCTTTATTAGATGTTTTAGCTATTAATCTACCGTAGGCCTTGAAGATTAGTATCTGTACCACAGTATGTTCCTCAGTTGTGGTCACTGATCTTTACCTCACAAAAACAGCTTGCACAGTCCATGGTTTACTCGTTACAATCCCTTTTGTTGCCACTTTGTGAGCAAGAAAGTAGCTTCAGCAATCAGATGTGTGGTTCATGACGAGCTCATCAGAAAGGTAGTATTTCCAATTCTTGGGGTTTTAAGTGTGAGTCCAGAACCTTTGCCAGAGGATGCTAGCATTTCAGCAATTAAAAAATTATTTTAGTCAGCTGAGATTTATATGCCAAGCAGAACCTCCTCATGAAGCAGGCTGTATATTCTCTAATGTGCAAAGAGTGTAGTAAAAGTGGACACTTTGGATGGAGAGCGAATTGTTCTGCAGAAGAAGGCTCATAAATTAGCTGTAAGAACAAAAGTGTTGCCACTGATATTTCATACATGTTTGTGTTGTGCAAAGTTTAAGTACTTCCTATTTGAAAGACATTCATGAAATATCTCACTTGTTAATGATTTTTAATGATGCTTTAGAAGCTATCAAAAACTAGAAAGTAACACTAGGGATACTAGCTTAAAGTTATTTCTAAATTACAAGCACCTTGTTTTTTTCACTTGGATAGGTTTGTAGTTGACATACCTACAGGAAGAGGTAGAAATTGTATGAATCACCTGCACCTTATTTCTAAACCCTCATTTTTACAACGAAGAGTGTATCTGAAAAAAGTGATACTGAAAAGTGTGTCCGGTTCTTCTGCTCACAGTACTTTATAAAAGATTGCAGGTAATCTTGCCGATGTAAAGAGAAGCCCAGAAGATGTCATTAGGCAATGGGTATTCAGGTTATCACCTGTGATTACCTAATTTGAGAAGTACATTCAATAGTGCAGGAGGTGGCAGCAATGTTACCCCGGCAAAAGAGACATTTTCACAAAAAATGTACTTGCCTTGAAAATATAATGACAGTGTATACAGCTTTGGAATATTTTTCAGCTTTCCAAGTGGTGAGACTTGCAGCAATTCTTTGCTGTTAAAATACATGTGTTAAAAAAGCTTCAGAGAAGAAAATATGTAAACAGAGTTTCATTACTTCTTAGGTAATGTAGAGAATACTTTGGCTTTGTTGGCCAGATTCAAGCTACAAAATCTTTATAGTTAAAAACAGATAATACGAATAATAAAAAGGCTAAAGATGGCATTTTCTTTACAGTTTGCCTTTTAACAAAAACTTGCATTGCTTTTCACTGTGAATTACTCATAAAATTTAAAGAGTAACTGAAGAAAATCTTGATTTGCCCCAAAAAGAGAAAAAGAGATCCTTTTGCATAGCTGGTGGCCCCTCTGTCTGCTTTTACAGTCATCACTGTGCTGTGACCAAACGGGTTATTTGTACGAAAAAGCGACCAGTCCAATTCTTGAATGGATGTGTGTTGGTTTTTTTTTTAAGATATGTAGTAATACTTTCTTTGAGAAGGGTCTGGACTCTTTTTATACCGAGTTTGGGCTCTCTTCGTATTAACTCCTGGCAGTCAATTAACTTGTACCAAGCAAAAATTCTGTATTTTCTACTGGACCTGTGTATCTGCTTTTATACATAAATAACATCTACTAGGGAAATAATATTATTTTCTTACAATGTCAGAAAACCAAAGTTAATGCTTATTTTCATGGTGTACAGGAAGTCTGTCATGCTAAGAAGTAAGTTACCGATTTTCTATTTGTATAAAAAGCATTTGCTATAAGAGATGTCATTTTTAAAAATGTTTATATTTAGTTATTAATTTGAAATAATTTTTAATGAAACTATGCTAATATTTCTCTTGTAATAAATTATTCATGGTTAGGTACTAAATGGTATGTGTTTTTTAAACAAGGGATAAAAAGGAGTGTAATTCATATTTCTGGTAAGCATTTGAACGCTGATAGATCCAAAGTGAATCATCTTGGTTTTAGCAGCTGGTCCTATGCACACATAAGTGGATTCTAGATGAAGAAAGTCTGGCTGATGTCCTTGCAGTTCATGTGCATCTGACCTGATCATGACCTTCTAGTAGCTTTGACTTTTACTATTTTTTCTGATAGGAAAGAAAATTTTCCACTCCCCTAGCAAAGCCACGTGTGAAACTACGATATATTCCCCTTGAGCTAAAAAGTCTGTAATGTTGTTATGATGGAACTGGAGGGAAGAGTATGGGGAGATCAAGAGGTTTTAGCTTCTCTTACAGAGTTACCCAATTTGTCCAGATGTGTTATTTTTACCCTGGTGTTCTGTAGAAAGCATCGGCAAGGAACATTTAATGCCGATGATCAGTAGTCAAAAGACATGGATTTTGAGAGACAAAAATAATGGGCAAGTGAAGATGCCTTCCCTTCTAAACTAGGGAAGAAAACCCAAAGCTGATGTATTAGGGATCTCTTTCTCATGGCAGTCTCAATGGAGAGTATTTTAGTGAGTTGTCAGGTTTTCTAGGCAGTGAAATGAAGGATATTATCTAAAGTAACTTGAGGTGTTTTGGAAAGTAGAGGGAATGGTTAAGAACTAGAACAAAGAAAACCTCGGAGGCAATACATTGCTAACCAAATTATGGCTTTTAAATGCTGATACAAAACAAATCTTGGCAGCTACTCATTACTACCGTACTTCAGGACAAATTAATGGGCAATTAAATTCATTACCTAGCTGTGCTGATTAAATGTAGGTAGGTCAAGAAGACTTGGATAGGTTAAATAATCTGCAGGGAATTTGGAAGGAAGTACATAGGTTATTAGTTTCTATAGAAACCTGTTCTACCATCTTCCTTTACCTGCCTTCCCAGCCATGCTTAAAACAGCCATGCTATAAAAAATTTCCATCCCAAAGAGTACTGATTCAAAACTTCAACCTCTTTACTCATCAGGGTTGCATCCTGGAACTATATGGGGAATTATATACTCCTAGCAAACACCGTTCTCTTACTGTTTAAATTCCAGCAAAACAAAACTGGCAAGTGTGTTAGAAAATACTCTTTTAGCAGAGCGGTTTCCCGTAGCTGACTCCTTTCTGGCAGGTTTTAAAGTGGTGCCGAGGTTCAGAACAGGACGGGGAGGCTGAGAGGGAGCCAGGCTGGTGGTGCGTGAGGGAGGAGTGGCGCTTGGTGATGTGCGTTAGTGTGTCTGCAAGGCCTCCCTGTTTGTGAAACTTCATGGAGGGGGTAAAAATGTTGGTCTGAAAACCACATGGCACTGGAGAGAAACGTCACCAGACTCATACACACAAGTGATTGATCTCCATTGCTCGTCAGGAATACTTTTGACGAGGGAAATAATTTCATTTTCTGAAAATACCTTCCAGTTTGTCAACAGTGCAGCTTTTTTTATAGAAAAGAGATATATCCTAAGCAGCTGGCGCACAGAGGCTGGGAATTCTGCCTAATACTGACTTGCTGCAAGTTTTCTGATGTTTTATCAGGAAACATCAACCGAATTTTTACAAATGCTGAGCACTCAAACAGCCTTTGACTAGACATTCGCTATACGAGGGTGGTATAGTGTCTCCTTCTAACCTTTACTGCTCTTCCAGGTCTTTCTTTTATCTCACAAAGTTTTTAAAAAAGACAGCTAACAGACATCCGTTTGCCCACATACGCCTCTTTATGTTCAATGACATGGGAGGCATTCACTGTTCACCTGTATAAATACTTTCATTTTTGCCTGTTAGAGTTTGAGCTAAGCTCAGAGACACTGTGAGGACTGAGGTGGCCTACTTAGTCTTTATTTATGGGTGTAGCTGTT